GCATGAAAAACTCAAAGAGCATTGGTCTGGTACCAAATTGTAACAGAGCAGAAATCAAACATGTGTGCCAGAAGTAAAGAAGCCTGGATTATCTCCAGGCTGACACTGGGTTCCCCACAAAAAAAAAAAAAAAAAAAAAGGGCCTGAGCCCACAGCTTGGCACCCATACACCCCCCAACAAAAAAACCCTCTCAAACAAACCCCCAGAATTCTGTGTAATTTTGATGTGAATTGTCTTACAGCCTCTGAAAAGGCAACTGTTTTGTAGCTGTTAGCCAAAAAAGGCAGCTTTTCCTAACCTACGGAGAACGTCCAACCACCAGCTCCCAGACACGCTGCTAACTGTTCCCCACAGCCCCTACCTGCAAGTTCAAAAAGTGAATTCTGAGCCTAAACAGCCCTGACAAAACCACATGTATCAAATCAAAGAGGTACCTATGTGCATCAAATCCATAAATAAACTAAGTGGCCACATATTACATATTATCAATTAATGTAATTTCCATGTATATCAAAGCAGCTGACATGGCCGCAATAGCCAGAGCTAATGCTGAACAATCCAGCTACTAGAAGGGTAAGCAAAAACATGCAAAAAACTTGACTCTGCACCAGAATTACCAGTCAGTGTTTCTAATTTAAAAAAAAAAAAAAAAAGTTGACTTCAGGAGGCAAACTAATACCGAAGATAAAACACCAACACTTTGCTATGAGAACCCTTTGTGCAGAAAAAAGCAAGGCTGTCTCAGTGACAGCAGAAGAAAAGAGGCATTATTCACAGCTAAAGCCTGAAAGTGGAAGATACTCACTTTGGTGCTTGACAGCAACGGTTTGGGATATGACAGATGGCACTCGTGACTGAGGTGGAAACACAGCTGATGATGCCATCATGGAGATTGTACTTCTGAAGTCTGTTCCATTTTAAAGTTCATAAAATAAGTCACATGCTGTGCTGGTTCCTTTAAGAGCCCTAAGTCTGGTGAATACTTTTTCAGAGAAAGGAGACAAAAACCCCTGTGGTATCTTCCCCCTTTTCTGAGAAATGTCTGTGCAAGTCGAGTGCTCCTCCAGAGGCAGAAACACAAAAGCCAAGGTCCTAGACTGGCACCAATTACTTTGTAAGATAATTTTGTGTGCATGATTGTGTGGGTTTTTTTGGGTTTTTTGTTTGTTTGTTTAAAAGCACATCAGCTCATAATCAAATTAGCTCTTCAGGGGTCATTATCATCAGACTTTTGACTTTTTACCTGGCTCCTCCATCTTGAGAAGCCATTATTAAATTGCCAAGTTAAACATATGGCCATTAGAGATTTGAGGAGACAAACCAAAAGCTAAGCTTGCAACCCTCCCAACAGAGGATTATAGTGCTTCTCTTAAGGAAGGGGGGGAAAAAGTAAAGTATCAAGAGTTTTAAGGAAATAGGGTCAACACCAAAAATACTGCATGAAGTTAAGATAAAACTCTCAGGAGTCACTTTTTCCTACTATGCTTTTGCTTCTATGGTTACTTAAAAGGGCTACTGAAGGAAATACTGCAGCACTGGGAGGGAGGAAAAGTGTCAGTCCCCTTTTCACCACCACTTAGCTACATACAAAGAAAAAAGACCAGTCACTGAACAGTAGCAGGGACTCATACAGTTGATTCCAACTTTGGCAAATGGCAATTGTGCCGCTGTGTGAAGCTACTGACCTCAACTCCGTATCTAAAACAGGCTGCGTTTCAAATTGGAGGACTCAAATTCCCTATAAGATCTGGCAGCCATGGCCTTCAGAATACAGCTCAGAGACCCAAAGGCTGAAGTCATGTGAAAATCAAGCAGATTTGATAAATAAGTGTCTTTGCTGGTTTTCAGGGCCCCCGCACTGAGCCGGCATAACCCATGCTTGTGCCTTTGTTTGTTACCCCAGGACAGGGCTGTGCCACCACACTGCTTTCCTATTCAGATACCTAAATATCAATTGGCTTTCTGTAGCATAGCCAGCTTTCTACTAGGCTTAGACTACAAACAAAAGAAAGACACATCGGGTTTAAAGTTTAAGAATACACCGTGCCGCTTTATCTACAACCCAACACAAAGACTGTTTTAAGAGAAGTCTAGATTTGGAATTTTCTCCTGTCTCTGGAGCAGAAGGAACTGTTCTAGCAACAATGTGCCAGCCCCAACCACCACAACTCTCAATGCACAGGAACAATCCAGGCTATCGCTATACAGTTTCTGAAGCTAGTTACACAAACGATAAATTACAGTGTGGCAAACAAGTGAAAAGCTTTCTCCCACAATACCTAGAGCTAGACAGACATCCACAGTAGGAAGGGATTTTTTGTTTTGTTTTCAAACTGCAATAGGAACAAGAAACATAACCCTACTTTTATGAAGTGTACACTGAAGAGAAAACAAGTGGTGCTGGTGAGGGGAGGGGATAAAGAAGGGGAACATTTAGAAAAAATAAGAGGGTTTAAGCAGGTTTTACAGGATCTAGACTCATTTCAGCCTTTCCTTTGCAAAAACATGTTCACTGCTAAAGCACATTGCAAGGGAGAAAAAAAGCTGCTGTGTATATAGGTAAAAGCGCTGCACATTTATACAGCTCTGCCTCCACTCCCCCCCCTCTTTGAGAGGCTTTAAGATACCCCTTGTTCGTAACTTACTGGTAAAGTAGGAAAAGCAGCATCGTCCTCACCTTCAATTTCATAGAAAGTTATGGTTTCTTCTGGTCCAGAACCATGTTGTGCCTGTTTATAAATCAGGCAGATCCCCTAAGTTTCAAGGGTAAAAGGTGCAATTACCAGGAAGTGCCTCTCAGGTGGAACTCATTTGTACTTTTACCTATTAAATAGCACAAACTCTCTCTTAACTAGTCTGCAGCAAGAAGGCACAGAAATCGAGTGGTGATTGCAGACAGGTTTTCAAGGCTTCATACCTTGGCATCCCAAATCCACGGTTGTGTCTCTGAGGAGGATTCTGAGGATGATAGGGTTTGTAAGGTGCTGTTTTTCCATCACCCTGTGAGCAGTGAACTGCAGGAGAGCCCCCCTCAACACTGCCAAAATTAGCTTCCCCCCATGCTCCCTGCCAGAGAAGGCAGAAACAGCTGAAGCCTTTTTACACAATGCAGCAGCAAAACAGGTAACCCTAACTAAACTCCAGCTCCTATCCAGAGCATTTCTGCTCCAGTCTGAGCCCTGCACATTAGCACAAGCTGAATCTTGCTATCAGGACGACAAGCAGGCTGAATAGCCAAGTTTTCTTTTATGTCCCTAAGCAGTATCTCAACTCAAGAGGAAAATTAACTGTAGGAAGTAGGGGGAGAAGGGAGCTGCCATGAACTTCCGCCTTCCCGAAAGAGCTTTCTAGTGAAACACTTGGCATTGATGGCTAAAGGTGGCAAGAAGGGAACCCAAAGCAGAGACCTCCAATTCCCATGCAGGGGTAACCATCCCCTTCAAAACATGAAAGCAAAGAAGTCAGCTATGAAGTAACAACTACTATTAAGTCATCTTAAGTCAAAGCAAGTGATCCTTCTTTTTTTTTCTAAAGGCTTTTAGCATTTGTCTTGTATGGGTAGGAAAAAGAGAAAGTGGGAGGGGAAGATGTAACTGAAAATTCAGACATCCAAGTCCATAGCTGTAGTATGCACACTCTACCTGGCCTCCCTATAGAGAGGGGAGATACTATGACTGGCTGAACTGCTGTTTGTGGGGGAACTGCTGTGGGGACACGGGCTGGAGTGGAGGCAGCTGAATTTGAGGAGAAGCCTGCAGCTGGAGCAGCACAGACACCTGTTGAGTTCACCAACACCTGGAAAAGAATCAGAGTATTCAGCAGACTCCCTCTATAAAGAAGTAAGAGATTTGTTAAATAAGTGTCTTTGCTGGTTTTCAGGGCCTCCAGCACTGCGCTGGCATAACCTGCACTTGTGCTCCTGTTTGCTACCCCAGGACAGGGCTACACCACCACGCCGCCCCCAGGGCTGTGGGCAGGGCCCAGCTCGCACCCACTTCTTGTTGATTTTTCACATTGAGTGCAAGTTCCTATCAAGGACAGAGCCGGTGCAGACAGTCATTTGAAAGACTCGCAGTTCACATGCACAGACTATTCAATGTTTTCTTCCTGAACTTATCAACAAAAACACAGCTAGAGCTTCCCACTGCACTTCATTCTCATGCTGAAAGCTTTTGCTACTTTCTCACAGAAGGCTGGAGTCTTATCCCACACAAGACAACCACATTTCTTCAGTCCAGGCTGTTGGATGACTAATTGTCAGGAACATAACCTGCCAGTGATAAATGACCACTCATTTCCGTGTGTTCAATGCTTTTATTTTGTGCTATCAGTGCAAATTAAACACCAAGACTACCACCATTTGTGCAACAGCTTTCACAAAACAAATCTTTACATACAGCAATATACAACAGATCAAAACAGCATTCTTACACTTTCAAGAGTCATGAAACCTACGCAGAATGAAATTAGACAGAAGGAATACAGCTATGACAAATACGCGACCATTAGTAGCAAAGATGTTTTGTTTTGCGAAATCTGAGAAAGCCAACCTATTTCAAACACTCTCATCCTCTAATGCCCCTGTGCACCCAATTTTTATCTGTAGTTGCAGTGGCAGCCTACTTCAGTGCTTAAGCAAGAACCAGGTGTCCAAGTGTTCCAGTGTAGCCCCTCACAGAGGTACATCATAATGCAACATTCCTTCAGTGATAGCATATGTTTTTACACAGACTTTATGTAGTCAAATTCAAGCTTTGTGTTCCCTGCACTATAGTCTGTATATACTTTTCCTATGCTTTCCTACATAATCAACTAAAACAACATCTTGTCAACTACCACCAGCATAAACCTAAAGAGAAACATGAAATTCAAATGCAGTTTAATCAACCGATCCAGCCCACTAAGACAGGGTAACATTTACGAAACAATATTAACATACAGTTGACAAACAAGAAACAAGAGAAACCAAGGGCAAGAAGTGAGCTTACAGCTCCCAGATTCACATTCCTTGAGGCACATCATGAGGTGCAGGGTTAGGTGAGGCAATATAGCTGACCTGGTGCAGTGGTGCAGAGCTTACAGCGTTAGCAATTTGTGAAGAATTTCCATACGGTGCATTTACTGGATGCCAGGTACTAATATAGCGATAGGCAGGTACTAAAGAATCAAACCCAGGAAGAGATTGCTGGCTGAAGGGGTCTGACACGACTGGGTAATATACTGGCCCGTAGGACAGTGGTGGAGGCTCTGCATTTTGAAAGTTACCTTAAAAAACAGAACAAAATACACACACAGTATTTCACCATATCTATGGCCTTTGTATGCAGACTTTTGTTACCATGAATACAGCATTATTTTAGTGGCCAAAAGGTAAAATCCATTTAGATGACAATTTTATGCCCATATATGTCTCTCTTAATAGAGGGGTCAAAATCATTTTGGGTCCTCAGACTGGAGGACAACTTGCTCATCTTCTCACTAAACCCTGGGCAAGAATCGCTTAGCAGCATTCTGCACTGGAGTGGCAGCTTTTTCAAGAGGGACTCGTGTGACGAGCTCATATATTCTTCCCCTATTTGATCTCTGACCATATGACACTAATCTATGCAAAAGAACCACCCTAGCTGAACAGGCTGAAGCATTATCAGAGCAATAAGCCTGTATGCCTCTGAGCAACAGTTTTGTTACGATGTGCTCCTTTCTAACACTGACCGCTTGCCATGTTCCATAGATTTTAATGAGCTAGGCATCTGACCTTTTTGACATCTTTTTCCTCATTTAATACAATCCTCCTATTTACTGCCAAGTGTATCCACAAGCTTGTTATAAAGCTGCTAGGTGAAATTAAGTTTTGCTGTAATTTTTTTTTTTTTTTTTTTTTTTTTTTTTTTTTTTACACACAGTAAGAGATGCAGATAGCAATAAGGGCTACTCAAGAGGTAACAGCTCAGCATGCCGAGCCTAAAACCAAGGCTTGCAACATCTTCCTTTTAAAAATTCCGGCGGAGTTGAAGTATCAATGCTCAGTGCTTACCAAAACTCAACTGTCTCCTTTTCTTCAAATACAGGCATTCTGGTTTTATACCATGACTTACCTTGATACCGTGGCTTATCAGTAGGCAAAGAGATTCCTTCACAGTTTTAGAAAAAGCTCTCCCAAGTTAAAGTTACCAAACCTAGTACAGGCCTACAAAGGATTACTACTTCTTTTTTACGGCTTTAGAAAGCCTGTGACACATTGGTGGCTACACCAGTGACTCTGACATACCTGAAGTAGTACCACCAGTGGCAGAGGAACTCATGATAACCCCTTACAAGGCTTACTCTTAGTCCTCCCAACCTCACGCTTCCTACAGGATAGCAAAGCAGCTCCTATGGAGCAGTCATGCACTGAAAACCTATCCCCTCACTTCTCATTAGTTGCGTATGTGGTCTTATACTCGAATACTAACCGTTTGCAGGTGCTTCCAAGGGAACCTGGTGGACTTCAGTTCGCCCAGCATCAGTGTAGAGCTGAGGTACTGACTGATCTAGGACAGGAGCTGGCTCAACGTATGCTGGATAAACCTCGACAGGTGATGGTGGCAGCACTGGCTGTACATACACCATGGAAGGCCAATAACTCTGATGACAGTACTTTGAGAAAAGGAAAAAAAAATACAAAGGTCATGCATGCAAACACATACTCTCCATTCCTCCTCCAAATCACTACTAGTTTCTGATCTAAAGTTAGGAAGAAGTGCATTTTTTCCTTCCTAGCCCCTTAAGACACACACCAAAAAAAACACCTAATACAGCCTACCAGAAAAGATATCGCAATACCTGCAGCGACAGCTATCTCAGTTCCACATTGCTGTTGTGTCAGAAATCTTTACAGAGAAAGATTCCCACCTATCAACTTTGTCATATCCAAAGACATTTTTTCCTATTGCTTCAGTTGAAGAAGCTGACATTACTTCTTTTGCTTCCCTGAGCAGCAACACTGACGCTGCATAAGACTGCTGCTGCAGACAACTCTTCAGCAGAGCGAGAGTTCCCAGAACACAGAGAAATGGTGCTAACCAGTCTGAATACAGCTGTACAAGTCCTAGAAGACTCAAACCACACATCTCTAAATGGTCTTTGATGTCTTGTCTAAGTACACAAATTTTCTTAAGAATGGCTCAGGTTCCTCCCCTTATCTTCACGGAAAGAACAATACTTATCCACCATCCTCTGCAAAAACAAAAACATAAGAAACCACCACCACAACCCAAAGTAAAACAACAAAACATACATACTAGTATGCTTCACATTTCGAGTTAGAACTTCACTTCCTGAGCTGTACTTTAAATCTCTACTAAGCAAGCCTAGATGTATTAATAATCAAGTGCACAGGATGCACATTTAGCACACTTGGAAGTCTTACATACATCAGTACATTTGTCAAGACAAACAGCAGTTTTTACAGGCAATTTACCATACTAATTTTAAAAGCACTTACTTGCAATCCCAGATTAAAATAATACCGCAAGACCTTTGTATCTGAAATTGAAGGATATGACATTAAAGAGCAGAAGAGTATAAACTGAGAAGCAAAAGAAATTCATACACATCAAGAGCATTTTATTTTAAGTTACTCTTACTTAATGAATAAGTGTATTTTAGCACTACTTTTTCGAGGGTAAAGAATGTATCTTGAATATAAATAGTTGTTAAAACTAGTTTGTCTTTTTAAATTAATCTAGTTAGATATTTGTGCAATAGTAGAGCATCTGTTGGACCAACTTATTATCAAACTTCAACAATTACATTAGCTTTAATTTTGATTTATTCATCTTGATTACTCAAGTGATAGTTGTCAGTGTTTTTGCAAGTCTCCACTGTCTAAGCAACGAGGACTTCAGCAATTCTGGCTTCCCAAGGCTGGGGTTTTAGAGTTCTTAGAGGAAAAAGTATTTTATCAAGTAAGAATTTGATTATGAGCCCCTAAGTTAAGTTGGCCACTAAAAGCACTCCCTTCCTTCCTCACTACAGAAATGAGAAAGGGTTTGGAAGCAGGCAGACAGGCAGGCGCAGCCTTTTCATACACCAGTGGCAACTCACCCTCACTGTACACACGTTACATACATACTGCAAATAGCCATACTGGGCTGGCATGCGGGACAACAGGACAACTCCATAGGTGAGACAGTGGGCCAACTCCATAGAGATTCCAGCTTCACACTGCTTCTACCCAGTGATAAGTCTGGCGCTCTCATCTTCAGAGCTTTGTTGAGCAGCGACCAGAGATACATGGCAATGGAGACAACATACGCAGCAATCCTAAAACCCTCTGACCTAGTTTTGGGGGTCCCCCCAATTGTTGTATCAAGTCAGAAAATGGGGGGTCAGGGGGTGGAAGAATAAGGAATATATTTGTTCCTTCCTTCCCCTTCCTTTCAAGGGTATTCAGTTCTCCGCTTTCCTGCAAGTAGTCTTTTACTTCCGTCTTCCACGTACTGAATAATTTGCCCCCCAGCAACCACATGATACGCTAAGAAGCAATCCCAGATGCGCAGAGGAACTTTGAAACCACTCTCCAAGAACAACAGGGTTTTGAACTTGGAAACACATTTCCAACTGTCCAAAAACAGCAAAGCAGTTTTAAACCTTTACAGTTGACCATTCAAAGGAAAAAGAGCGCATGGTTTAATCCCATGGTGCAGTTCTGGAACTGTGCACAAGACAAATTGTTGATTTCTCAGATTCAAACACAGATTTGTGTTAAAGGCTCAGGAAGAGCAAGTCACCTATTCCACAGCAGTAAGTTTACAGGTGCATGCACCCACAGAGAGTTTGCTTTAGTACTGCTAGGAGCTGAAAGGGAAAGCAGGGAGACAACTCAAAAGAAGCCCTTAGTGGCTCGCTCCAACTTAGCGACACCTCTAGAGTTACCATACGTACCATCTTCTTACCACCAACCCATTTCCCCCTAGACCAGGGCCTCGGCTCCACGTTGCTCCCGTCCACCCATCTCCCACACATGCACACTTTCCCAGCCCTGCTCATCTATGGTACCGCGCATCATACTTTGCTGCAGATAGGCACAGTGTCATAAATGCAAACCCCAGTCTTGATTTGTTCCTCTGTTGCCAATTCTCAGCTCTTTTACTGTTCAGCATATTTGATCAGGGCAACAATCCATGCGGCTATTTTAGCAAGTGCATACAGATCCTTCCTTACATCTAACAGCTGTAAGCTTACTCCTGAAAGCGGTGGTGATTTGGCTGTGACATTGACCACAGTCAGTAAAATATTAAAAATAACCCAAAGGCTCATGTAAATGCCAGCTTTTTAGTATCTAGTTGAAACTGCATCTACATTTGGAACAAGGTTTTTTTAAATCTGATTTTGTTCTTCAATTGTTTATGCAAATCTATGCAAAACAAGCATAAGAGCTGAATGAAACAGCTGCTTCATAGCAGCGATAACAGTACAAAGAGCTGGGAGACTGAAGTGACAAACTGATACTGGAAATACTGACGTCTGTGGAACACTGGAACAGAAGCCAGTACAGTAGGAGACCAGTTTTTGTTTATATTCCTCTTTTAGATGTCTAGAAATCAAGTCAATCTTCAGTAAAACATGATTACCTTATGAAGCAATAGCTAAGCCAAAAAAAGTTAGCCACCCTACCACGAAAATATAAAAACCGTGTTGACTACTGATAAAAATCTCATCTTACAATGCATCAGGGCAGAAGTGATGATAAAATTTTTTACTGTGCTGATGGGAAGCTCTGGTCAATTGCAAACACTACTGCAGTCTCTGGAACATAGTAATACCAAGCGGTCTTTTATCAATAGCTCTTTCAGATACAAGGGAGCAGGCAAGGGTAGGACACCTAAGGTCACCGTGTTAATAAACATGTTTCACCAGCCCTAAGCTCCATTAAAAAAAAAAAAGATCCACAAGACTCTTAAAATTGGAACAAATACAGATGTACCAAGTAACACTAAGGCACACGGCAGGTTTTTCTCCCAAGTCCAGGACTTCAGTCTGTTGACCAGTCACACTCCCAATCTATACCAAGCCTGCAAGAATCTTCAGCGAAGTGCACAAAACTCTAGGCCAAGTATACCCACATACTCTACCCTGCACTACTCCAAAGCTTCTGGATTCTTAACTTTTAAGATTATACTACAAACAGATTATACTACAGCAGTGTGACAACATAAATACTACGTGCAGTTCCTCATTAACTACCAACCTTAAAATCCTTAAAAAAAAAAATATCTCTAGAATCTATGCCAAGAAGAACATGGCCAATATTATGTGGAGTGACTCAGCTGAAGAGCTACAGGCAGGGTCTGAAGAGGTTATTAATCCACCTCCACTCCAGATTCTTGTCAGTACACTTAACACCTAATTCTCACAAGTGCTGAAAGGCTCAGTTAAAGGCATTCAACTAAAGATGAAAACCACTAACTCTGAGGTGTGCATAGTATCATCTAGAGCAATACAACCGCAGCAGGGAAGTGGAAAAATGGAACATTCAAGATTAACAAAACCAGGAATTGAGAGCACCTGCAAGAGAGCAGGTGATAAAGCTGAAAGCTGATTCTGAGCTGTTCTGCTGGTAGGTACTATGCTGATCTTTGAAGCTCGTTGCTTAATAACTAAAACGTACCTTAGACACTGTCATAACTGATGACAGTATACAAAAAGGCGATGCACCCAAGGAACAAGATGACCCTATACTTTATCCCCAGTTTATGATACAACAGACTTGACATCCTGGAGCCATACAGGAAACCACCACAATATCCCACTGAACTGTGCAACAGCACAACTTCATAAATACACAGATTTTACTTTTTTTTTTTTAATCAGTTATCAGAAAAATGATTACTCCACCAAGAACCAGTATGATATAGGCCAAGTGCCCTCTCCCTTGGTATTCATTTCTTTAGGATGCTGTCTGAAGCTGCAGTAATCACATATTTGAGTCAGATATGAACTTGCTATTCAGAACTAGGAAATAAAACATTTTTAGCATAAGCATCCATAATATTATTTCTCACTCCCTGCGAGCTGCAAAGAGCCATTTCTTCTCACTATAGGTATTCTGTTAAGTTTCCATGGAGAACACAAGTCAGAAGTGTGCCAAAGAGCAGCAGTAGTAAAAGCACAAAATACCGTTGTTACCTCGAGGCAGATCACTGCCACTGGGGTCACAGGAGTAAGGTGGAAGCACTGTACCAGCTTCTCCCACCTCGCTGACTGGAGGAGGAGGAGCTGAATAAATTGGGAATGGCACTGAAGAAACTGCTACAATTAGAAGGAAACAAAAAGTCAAGTCAAATTTGCAATGGCACATCAAATGAGCAAGATGCCAAGTTATGCAATTAAGCATGCACTACTTTGTCATCTCAGTGCCCCTAAATACAGGCTTTAGCAAAGTTCTCTTTAGTAATCACTTTAAAAGAAGTCCAGAAATTTTAAAAACAGATGGGAAGGTTCCAATCTCACAAGCCTTAACCGTATGTCTATCTGCAAGCTTCATATTCCAGTTAAGAATAAATGTCTTTTTCAATCTTTCCTCCATACTAGAAGGCAGGCCAGACTTTCCTTACATAACTGTCTGTCCTAGAACAACAGTGAACATACTAATCACTTCGAGTCATCAGAAGTATGACAATAAGCCCAGAAAAATAGGGGAAGGTTCAAGACAGGACAAAAACATTTTGGATGGACTACTGTTAAATATTCATTAGGTGGCCCACACCTCTAACACATCAGCAGGTTATTTGTAATGGCATCAGCAAGTAGGCAGCTTAGAGAACTGTGCTGACTAAATTCTCATGCAGAGTGGAAAGAAAAAAAAAAGAGAGAAAAAATGGAGAAGGGAAACAAAATTGAGAAGAATTGAAGGTAGACTGTTTTCCTCAAGAGGAAAATTGACTGTAAGAAGTGGGAGAAGGGAGCTATCATGAAGTTCTGCCTTCCCAAAAGAGCTTTCTAGTGAAACACTTGGCATTGATGGCTAGAGGTGGCAAGAGAGGAACCCAAAGCAGAGACCTCCAATTCCCATGCAGGGGTAACCATCCCCTTCAAAACATGAAAGCAAAGAAGTCAGCTATGAAGTAACAACTACTATTAAGTCATCTTAAGTCAAAGCAAGTGATCCTTTTTTTTTTTCTAAAGGCTTTTAGCATTTGTCTTGTATGGGTAGGAAAAAAAGAAAGTGGAAGGGGAAGATGTAACTGAAAATTCAGACATCCAAGTCCATAGCTGTAGTATGCACACTCTACCTGGCCTCCCTATAGAGAGGGGAGATACTATGACTGGCTGAACTGCTGTTTGTGGGGGAACTGCTGTGGGGACACTGGCTGGAGTGGAGGCAGCTGAATTTGAGGAGAAGCCTGTAGCTGGAGGAGCATAAACACCTGTTGAGGTTGAGATGGCTGCAGAGTTCACCAACACCTGAAAAAGAATCAGAGTATTCAGCAGTCTGCCGCTACAATGGGCTTTGACAAAGACTATGGAAATAGCACATAGTTCAAAAATTCTCACTTCACATAAATGCATTTTGGAAGTCATAGAATCATAGAATCACTTTGGTTGGAAAAGACCTTTGAGATCATCGAGTCCAACCTTTAACCTAACCCTGCCATCCCACCACTAAACCATGTCCCTAAGCACCTCATCTTTCCTAGCTGTAAAGGCAGCTAACTATCCAAGTTCTCCAAAGATTGGCTTGAAAATACCAGGCTAGTGTTGTAGATGCCTGCAAAGCATCTTCTCACCCTTGTGTTTTGCTTGTATTTATAGGGAATTGTAATCTTTGTCACAAGATGCTGTAAGGAGCACCTGCTTAGAGGGACCCCAAAACCTGACACTAACCAAGCAGAGTGCTCATCTCTCCACAGGGCTACGCCAATAAAGTACTAGATACTACCTTCTGGGGATAGCTGTAGGAAGCCACTCCATCTTGAGGTGACACAGAGACTGGCCCTTCTTCCTGAAGGGATTCCAAAGCAAAGCATGGTCCATTTAACAGGTAAAGAAGTCACAAGGCGCACACACACCCCTGAATTTTATTTTTGGACTATACACACACACAGATCTTTTATAACTGCTTTTACTCAAGTTACACTCCAACATGCACAAGACTGGCTTTCACACCCACTGTAGACTAGTAGGTGACTAAAGATTTAGTTTCAGATTTAAAAAAAAAAAAAAAGTCAGTTAAGCCTGCATCCAAGGACAGTTTCTATGAAGAAAATCTGAACAGACAGCAACTAAAGCTTACCAAGTTTGCTGTAGGTTCTGCTGAACTAAATACTGTTGCAGTTTCACAGTCAGGATCTGCAGGGCATAGGCAAAATTAATTGAAAGAAGTAGCATTAAATCTAATCCTTCAGAAACTTACAAAAAGGTTGTAAGGAGTGCATTGCATTCATCGAGTGTTCTATCAATAAAGACTGAAGTTTCACTTACCTGGAGGTGTGTATATATATTCTTCATGAAATTTCCCTACTTTTAAGAAGCTTTGATTCAGGGGAAAAAAAGAAAAAAAAAGCTTAAAGCTGAAGTTACTACAATTACATTTCAGTGCATCCATTAATAAGCCACTTTCAGTATCATCATCTTTTGTGGAGAAAAGGTAGAGAAACACTCAAGATATGCTCATTTTGTTATTCCACCAAGTTATCAAGGTTGCCATTACCAAATTTACATCATGCATCCTTAAGCAGCAACTTGGCTTGCTACAGACCTACGTATTCACAGCGAGCTTAAACATAAGTGACACATTTCTATCAGACAATGAAGAGAAAGAATGTGCTCACAGGCGCGTTCAAAGCTCACAATAAACAGATATTTAGGAGATGCAAGGAAGCTACTTTGACAAACAAAAGTGCACTGAAGATCTTCTAAGCCTGTCTTTTCTCTTTGCCCACTAATCCTTCAAGAACTCACCATTTTCACTTGTTTCTTCCTCCTCCTCTGAGGAATTCAGGGTCTGCTTGTTAGGTGGAATAGAGTTTGGGCCTCTCCTTCCTACCCAAAATCCTGCTGGACCATGGACAATGGGAGCAGGGCTACCCTGGCTCTATAAGGCAAAGTCAGAAGCAAGCATTTAGAAATAGTTTAAAGCCTTTCCATGCTCTACACACACAGTATAAACATGCTGGCAGACCAAGCTCACAGCAACCAAAACTTAACTAGAATTACTATTTGCATGTCCATTCCTACGCACCTGGACTGCAGCAAAACAGCTGCAGATGAATTTCTTTCCTTTACCTTTTGTTCTACCTAGCATACTTAAGGTAATTTATTTTTGAAGGCCTACCACTGTCCTATGCAATACAGTCAAGCTGCTCCCTCACAGAACTTAGCCAGCTTTATCTCAAGCTCAAACAAAGTTGAAAAGGAGGGAGCAGACCCCAGACTGCCAAGACTGTTACCCCCAACATATACTCCTGCATTCCTCATCCTGGAGCACTCCCACCACACCACCAGCAGGTGAGTTCATCCAAGTACTCTAATTATGACAGAAAAAGGTTATCTTTGGTCACTATTAGTGAAACCCATGCGTGGCTGCTGGCACAGACACCACTGTCTGCGCTAACTTGACCCACACATGCAGGCCTGACTCTGAAAGAGAGCAGCACCCATCAAGCTTTCCCACAGGACTCCTTTAACATTTTACATGCCCTTTGTCTTTACACTGGAAGTCAGTCCTTAGCTGCACCACAATTTAATAAAATACAGAGTCCTCTGAAGCAGGAATATAGGAGGGAGATGCTCGAGTAAAAGAAGTTGATTCACTCTTTTGTGATGGCTAAGGTGACTCTCAAAATTCTCCTCAGAAGACATGGTGGCTACGAGATCGATAAAGTGCTCAGAGAGGCTTGTGAGATTTCCAAGGTTGAAGCAGAAGTGGTTAAGTCAGAAGATTCTCCCACCAGGCCTCTAGTAGGATGGCAGAGTTTTCTGTGAGATGCATCTTTCCCCAGGAAATGTTATATTCCTTTACTAAACAAGACAAGGAAGAGACAGAGAAAAGGCTTTGGCATTGACAGTAATAAAGTCACTGAATGAACACGAAAAAGAATTCATTAGGAGCTGCAAGTATGTAGCCTAGCAATGGGGAGGAAAAGCTAGTAAGCTATATTGATTTCATGTCGGGGAAAAAAAAAAAAAATTGCAGCATAAACTGTCCCTATTCCTTGACACTCTTGGAGGAAAATCAGAGCAAAGATCTAGCACATGAGGATAAATTAAAAAATGGCTGCTATTCAAATAGCTCTGAGCCGACTCCCCCTCTCTCATTTAAATACACGTCTAACATTTGTTACTGCTTCAACACAGTAAAAAGAAATTCAAACCTACCAGGTTTGGGGTTTTTTTTGGTTGTTTGTTTTTAAAAGATCTGCTTTCCTATTCAGATACCTAAATATCAATTGGCTTTCTGTAGCATAGCCAGCTTTGTACTAGGCTTAGACTACAAACAAAAGAAAGACACATCGGGTTTAAAGTTTAAGAATACACTGTGCCGCTTTATCTACAACCCAACACAAAGACTGTTTTAAGAGAAGTCTAGATTTGGAATTTTCTCCTGTCTCTGGAGCAGAAGGAACTGTTCTAGCAACAATGTGCCAGCCCCAACCACCACAACTCTCAATGCACAGGAACAATCCAGGCTATCGCTATACAGTTTCTGAAGCTAGTTACACAAACGATAAATTACAGTGTGGCAAACAAGTGAAAAGCTTTCTCCCACAATACCTAGAGCTAGACAGACATCCACAGTAGGAAGGGATTTTTTGTTTTGTTTTCAAACTGCAATAGGAACAAGAAACATAACCCTACTTTTATGAAGTGTACACTGAAGAGAAAACAAGTGGTGCTGGTGAGGGGAGGGGATAAAGAAGGGGAACATTTAGAAAAAATAAGAGGGTTTAAGCAGGTTTTACAGGATCTAGACTCATTTCAGCCTTTCCTTTGCAAAAACATGTTCACTGCTAAAGCACATTGCAAGGGAAAAAAAGCTGCTGTGTATTTAGGTAAAACAGCGCTGCACATTTGTACAGCTCTCCCCCCCTCTTTGAGAGGTTTTAAGATACCCCTTGTTCGTAACTTACTGGTAAAGTAGGAAAAGCAGCATCGTCCTCGCCTTCAATTTCATAGAAAGTTATGGTTTCTTCTGGTCCTTGAGGCTCCTCTCCATTCTCTGGTACAAACCCATACTGACATTCCTTATTGACACACTGCATCTGGCGGCGGCTACGGCTATATGAGCTTTAAAAAAAAAGAAGGGAGGTGAAGAAGCACCACTATCTGGAGTTTCACCTCTGTTTTGTTGCTCAATTTTAATTCTCTTCTTTTTGGAGGGGCACAATAAACCCCTTTTTCATACTGTGCCACTAACAGCCAACTCAGCCCTCAACATACCTCTCCCACCACCCTCCCCAACTCTTCTAGAGCAATGTTTTGTAAAGAGGTTTATATTCACTTACCTGCAGGAGAAATTGTCATAGCTCTGATAACATCTCTTTCCTGGACTGGGGTAGAATGCTATTTGAGGACCAACCATGTTGTGCCTGTTTATAAATCGGGCAGATCCCCTAAGTTTAAAGGGTAAAAGGTGCAATTACCAGGAAGTGCCTCTCAGGTGGAACTCATTTGTACTTTTACCTATTAAATAGCACAAACTCTCTCTTAACTAGTCTGCAGCAAGAAGGCATAGAAATTGAGTGGTGATTGCAGACAGGTTTTCAAGGCTTCATACCTTGGCATCCCAAATCCACGGTTGTGTCTCTGAGGAGGATTCTGAGGATGATACGGTTCATAAGGTGCCATGTTTCCACCACCCTGTGAGCAGTGAACTGCAGGAGAGCGCCCCGAAGGAACACTGTGCTGTAGCCGGGGTGGGAGAACTGGCTGACCCCTGCTATAAGCCACAGTCATAAACACTTCCTTTCCTCGAACTTTCTTAAGCATTCTCTTCCGTGTTTTCACATCCATTTCTGCAGTTTCAGTTGAGGACAGAAAAGACAGATTTACACCTTAAACAGCCAACTCCAGAGCTATGTTGTCTTCATCATTTGGAAACACTGAAAAGAAAGATCCAAGGGCCTATCCCAGAAAAAGTGCATTTTAAGTATGCAAACTTCATACCCTTATTTTGAAGGCCGAACCAGGAGTTATAAATTATGAGCAGAATACAAGCATCTCACATGCAAATACCTTCCCAACTTCAGCTGATCAAACCACTACTCTCAGTGTTAAAATCTCTTTATGAACCTGTATTAAAAAAAAAAAAAAAAAAAAATCTCTAAAATTAAACAAATGCAATCCATATTTAATTGGCTGGGGAAGCCCCAGTCTGTCCATACACCTCTAAGGCCAAATCAGACAAGCTTTTTTATTCACAGACCCAGTCTTTATGCACAGTTCTCAAGCGCCAAATTTCTTCTTGGTATTTTTCAGCAGTACCAACTTTGCTATGAATTGTCAACGGATTTGCTCTTTTGCAAAGGCAAATTCATCCCTCTGTCTGAAGGATCACTTTACATCAAACCCCTGCAGTGACTAAGTTTTGTATCACAGGCTGAATTAAGTCACTTCCAATACCCAGACTGTTACTGTTAAAACTGTCATGAGCATCTCCCCCATTCTCCCCCGGCCCCAAGGGAAAGAATGCTTGTGGAAACCTTGTACAAACCTATTCCTGAGAAGTATCCACCTGTTATTTTCTGATAGGTTCCTCCTTTTCGGCTGGGAACCATATTCCAAGCAAGGACAGGCGCCACTTGCGTCACTGGTTTTAAGTTTGCCAGAGAAACTGTATGCCTACACGAAGAACACTGACATTAGCAGCGCTACATGCATACGCTGTGCATAACTGTGCAACAACATAAGCTAAAGCAACGCTAAGACAGGAAAAAAAAATAGTAAAACCCACAAACTTAAAGAGTGTAGGAAGCTTGTGGAAATAAAAGAAAAAAAATAATCTGTTCCTCTGACACCAAACAAGTAACAGTAACGTGTGTTTATTAAAAAAGGCAAGCTAGGATTTAGTCTCAACACTATTGACTTCCTGGGTCAAGCCTTTCTTCCCTGTGTTTGTATGCCTTCAGAGGTATACCTGAACACATTTGGCAACACAGAATTCTTACAGTATGTCATCAATTGAATTAGAGGTCTGGAGAAGGGTGAATGCTTTGAACAGCAAGGTGGAGAAAGTGATTAGACTCACCAGAAGTGCAAATTATTTGGTAGTTTGGATACAACATAAAAACCCCAGAGAAACCAACAGCAGAGGGTAATTTGCTATCTATGAATTAAGCCCAAACTGCAGGAGATCACTTTCACATTCCAGAGAAGAAAGAGCAGCAAGATTTCACAGAAAGTATTTCAATAATGATTTTGGTCATTAGAAATCCAAGAGAAAAAATTTCCTGCAACATTATTTGAAGAGCGATAGCCAACAAGGAAGCACTGCCTGACTTTGTATTTAAAAGCCTAGGTTCTCTTCCTTTTGAAAGTATCTTAACAATCTTATTTTAAGCATCTGTGAACAAACTCAACCAGAAAGAATTCAAACATGAAGCTGTCACCAGACTGCTTACTTTTCTGCCAGCTCCTCAACGAATACAGTCAACGTGTTGCCATCCTGTCCAACCTCCTGGATATGAGCATTGTAATACTTACCTCCAGGCTCCAGACGTACCTGGAGAGAGAACAAGGGAAGATCTAAAGCCAAACTGTATCAGGGGCTTCAGAATACCATCTACAAACCACTAATAGCGAAGGCTGCTCCTAGCTGATCGTATGTTACTGAGTTGGCCCAGGAGCCTCAAATACTTCTTCAATATAGCAGGCAAAATAAAGAGCACTGTACTAACTTCAGGGAGTAAGCGGGGGGGGGGGGGGCACAGAAGTCTTTTTTTTTTAAGAAGATACCTGCTTTAACTTATTTTTATACACTGTACCAAGCAGATAAGTACCAAGGAAGACCGCTATTTAAGAACTTGGAGAACAGAAGATAAAACAGGAAATTGGAAAGGAAAACTCTGCTCAGCTAGAAACGAGTGAATCATCAGCACTACCTCAAACAGTGATAAAAAATAAGCCCTCACTACATACAACACTGGCATACAAAGAAAGCTGACCTTCCTTTCAGCATCTCCTGGCCAGATCATGCTAATCCTCCCTTTTTAGCTCTTCCCTTTCTATTTTATAAAAATATTCGCTACATTACTGTTGAGAAGCAGAAGACTGTCCAGACTTGTTGGTGATCCCTAGTGAAAAATCTAATAGCTACCTCAAATGCACAACCTGCACATCTTGAGCTCTAGGTCTGGAGCTTCCACGCTCACAGAAAGCGTTATCACTGGTTTGCAGTGAGTTTCCAAGCAGCTTTTCCTTCACGCTACCCAATGTTTAAAGGTAGATTTTAGAAAGAAATGAAATTAAGAAGAAAGTCAGATTAATAGCTACAAGGAAGAGAATGAGAAAAGCCTTGGAAAATTCTGTGAATGATTTACCATATGGAGTATGGTAAGCCATTTAAAGCAGTTTTAATAGTTTATCATAACTGAGTCTCCTTTGAGTACTAACCTGACACTTGTCTCCTAAATAGTACTGTCTCCCAGCAAACACCATGTAGTCAGTTTTTTGAAGCTCTAAAAATAAATGAATAAATAAATAAAAAGGAAAAAACCTTTGAAGTACTATTCTTTCTTTATGTATCCTACAAGTACTTCATGACAGCATCCAACTACAAATTATAGGCCAATGGAGTTAAATATTTCCTATGCATAATCTGAACATTCCCCATAGTAATGGTGAAAGTAACTGTAGATGTTCTTGTAACAGACCACAACCACGCTAAGTCACAGGAGATAATAATATCCAGATAATGTAGTAAGTAGCACTACTACTTCAATACTACAATGTCTTTTGTGATGGTACAGAGTTAATCCTGCATTTAATACCAATCCTGGTATTAAGAATGTTGGACATGTCTTGTCTTGCCAGAGTACTGGTGGCACTTGGCAAAAAATGAAATGTTATCCAGGAAAAACTAAAATTGCCTGAAGTCTCCTTGTCACTAGATTTCAGTAGGATTTTCTCTGTTCCTTGTGTGGATTCTCTGCACATCAGTACTCAACATAGATAATTAGTTACTATACTCTGTTCCAAGAATTCTAGTGACCCTCATTACTGCTTATGCAGTTGTAAAATGCTGAAGTTCTTCAGTATGCAAAGCACTTCGGGTCAGACATCACACACCACCTCAAAACTTATCTTTCTTGGTAACTTCTTACTTTACAGACCAGCCATGGTGTATGCCAAAAAGCAGCAACCTATCCCAAAGCCCCAAAGACCATGAAATCTCTCCAGAATGTTCAAGCCCAGGAGAGCTGGGAAGCAAGAGAAAAACTCATCTCATTTGACAGATCTCAACGCTAAATTTGAGAATTTCATTATTATACAACTCTGAAGTCAAAATCGTGCTAAAAAGCAGAAGTCCTTGCACACATGCTGCAACAAAAAAACTCTCAAATTTGAATGATTTCCAATACAACAGAATGGTAACACAGAGTTCTGTATTCTGCTTTGAGTCCTTGTATTTCCTATGCTATAGTCAGTAAGTAGCAGAGGTCAGATTTTTAGCAACCTTATCACTACTATACAGTGTCAGAAGCAGTGTATTTTGTGCTTTGAAACAAAGCCAAGAAACCAGCTACTAGCAAGAAGATGTACTACCTACAAGTATCTGCTGGGTTAACAGGCATCCTTCACATTTCAGCTGTGAAGATATAGGTGACATAGGCCTCAGATTCATAGATTTAACACTGAGCCTGGTACAGAAAGAGTTGTTTTTCCCTTTCAAAAAGATACCTTTTCTGCTGTCCAGCCAAACATCAAACTCCACATTTCGATATATCTCAGGGTCCAGTGCCTTTAGCACTTTATAAGGAACAGGCATCTTTGATGGATTTTCTGGAGGCTAAAAACAGAGTTGAAATGGAACATTACCAAGTGCATTTAATGTGTTCAGCCCTGTCTCTATCCTGACAGCATCTGCAGACCACTTTAAGATGTATGCACACTATTTCCAAAATTTTCACTTCCACTGTATTTGGCCAAAACCTAAAGCTCAAGAATATGAACACACATTTAGGCATTCAGAAACTGAGTAAACAGGCTTTGGAAAGGTTAGAAACAGGCTCAAGGGTAACATTTGGCATGTTCTTTACTCAAAAAGAATCAAAGAAAGCTAACCAGACCAATGAAGCCATGGCTTCAAAAGTTGATGGGAATTTCAGTTATTATATCCGAAAACAGGTTCCCATAGTTTCTAAAACCGTTCCACAATGATTTAGATTGTGTTCTGAAGAAAAGTGAACCGATTTAAACCATTTCTGGGAAAAACACACAGTAGATCAGAACACATCTGCTAATCTCCATCTTTGGAGGGGTAGGGGAATATTAGTGAGAGAAGAACAAGAGAATCTAAGACAGGAAAGAGGCTTATCCAATTTAATAGAAGCTCAAGGGCAAAACCAAAAGACAAGCAGATGGAAGAAATAAGCCACCCACTTTCCAAAAAGTCATTTTTAAAACTTGGAAAAGAGGGTTTAGCCCTAACAAGGGTAACATTATACAACAACAGAGCCATCCACCGTAAGGAATTCTTCCCTAACTGACAAACCTTTTCTTCTTCAATGTCTTGTTTGAACTTATCTTCCTGTGGATTGTCAGTACCATTGCCTTCCCAGTTGTCCACTCTAAGTAATTGAAAATAAGATTACAAAAGATACAATGCATAATTTCTAGCCAGGATTAAAATCAACCAACTGTTCAAACAATCTGAAAAAGCACCATGGTGCCATCAAGTGGTAGATTTTGCCTTAACACTAGCCATGGCTGCGATGCAGTACAGGACAAAATTTTTCCTAGTTTCAAGAACATGACCTTTACCTTTTCCAAAACCCACCCCTAATGAGGGCTACTGCTTGCATTAGGAAAGGATGAAGATGATCCCACTGACCGATTAAACTTTTGCACTGTCAAGTACAACAAGACACCCTGTCCTAAGTCCTATCAAACCAATGTCATCTGCAAGCATTCAGTAAGGGTCAGAGGCATCCCTCAGGCCTTTCTAGCAACTTGAACAACATGGGATATGAGGGTTTCTGCAGGTACGTTCTGTTTGTTCCCCTCATCCCCAGTGATCCAACAGACTTGAATAATGCCACTATTTAATTGTCTGTTTGGGGTACAATTCCATTAAAAAAGGACAAACAAGAAAATAAAGCACAGGTCATTTTCTCAATACACTATTGCCTCTGCAAGGCTACGAAGGCTTAGAAGAGTACTAACTTTCTCACAAAAAACCAATACTCTGATGACATAAGGAACAACTTTATTTACAAGTAACCTGTCATTTTCAGAGTAACAGGCAACTATAGCATAGCCAGCAGCAGAGGGTGTTCAATTACATGACACTTCCCAGTTCCAAGGAAAGCACACTCTCTTCCACAATACAATTTGTGTCACGAGATAGGAAAAAGAGTTAATACCCCATGAACATTGAAAGAAACTTGGAAAAGTTGCCCTTTGCAAGGTTTTTAATTTCCCCTTCACAAAATACTACCTCTTTTCTGGTGGATTTCTGGATACTTTTTCATGAAGACAATCAAAGTTTGTATCCTCACTTCCTACAGAGCCACTGTTTCTGTTCTTCTTGGATCCACTTCGAAACACCTCAACTGCAGACCTTAATTCTTCCTCGTCCATGCCAAACACATCTTTGTACAGGATCTCATATAATACAGCTGAACAAATCAACACAAAGCTCAAACCAAATGAAGATAATACCAGATCCATAAGAACTTTTGCAATTTTCAATGTAAGCGTATCTTCAGATATTATCTACTCTTACAAGGCACTAGTTATATTAAATTCAATTAAGGAGAGGATCATAAAATTCAGGTGGGAAGAAGGGACTTCTGGAAGTTATTTGGTGCAATAATCCACTTAATATATATACACTCACTATGCTATCTATTAATGTAAAATAAACAAGCTTCCATCTCTCTCCTCCCCACCCCAGAAAACCAAAACAAACACTGTCTGTAAATATATGAAAACACGTAATTCTCTTATATAGAAAAATTATTTCAAGTTTACCCTGGCAAATAGCAGCATTTTCCTGGAACTGTTTTGTATACACAGAGTCATAATGGCCGTTGCTGGAACAACACAGTAAAATCTGGGAAAATAAAAAAAGGCTTTAAGGTTGGAATGATGTAAAACCTAAGTCTTTCTGTTTGATATCCTAGCTCAGCTCAAGACTACATTCTTCTTTCATTCTACAGTCGACATCAACTCATCAAGAAAATAATAAATATTCTCAATATAAATACGAAAAAGCTGTAGGATCAGCTTAAAACTGAATCCCAGGTAAAGTCTCTAATTAAGTTTGTCTATTATATAAAGAAAAACTACCAATTTGTACATCATGCTGTATTAAACATGAAATAAGTTTGTTTCCAGCTTACCTCTGAAACCACCAATTGCTCAAGAGAGAAAATAAATACAAGCCATTACATGCGGTACCCCGATACACAAAGGTGCATTTCACCCTTCCCTACTGAGGGACTAGAAGAGCATTTACTTCTCTAGCCCTCAACAAAGCCTTGCTTTCAAGTAATATTATGCTGCCTTTTGAGAAGATGCATGCTTTCTGCAACATCTGCATCGATATACCAAGTATAGCAACTATGTATACCAAGCATATACCATCAAACCCCATCTTGGCATGCGACCACAGCCAACAGCAACTGGCAGAAGCCCTTAGGCAGCTGTCAGCACATTGCCAGCAAGGATGCTTCCCAGTGAACCAGCAGGAGCTGGGATGCCAGGGCTTTTAATTCAATGTGCACTACGTCTTCTGCCAACACAAGCTCTCATCTCATGGTGAGAATGAGCAACACCAGCAAGAGCTGCTGCCTGTACATGCAGTCTAATGACAGACAGCTGCCAACACTTAATGAGAGCTCTGGTGGTAAAGCCTTTGAGGACAAACACACATTCAGACCATACTGCTTGATTTTTAAAGTTAGCTCATTTTGGAATTAGATTAAGCTACACAGGAAACTACATAGAAAAAGGAAGAAGCGCATGTAAACAAAGACAGGCGTACTAACCAACAGAGAAGAACAGCTGCAGCAGCACAGATTTCAGAGCCGACTAGCCGCTTTGGCAAATACAATAGCCCATACTGAAATCCATACCACAGCAACTTCACTGGCATCACACCTGAGCTAGCCACATAATTGCACAGGCACATCTACATGATTGCAGAAAAAACAAGAGGGGTCAGATGGGGGGTAATAGAGAGTATTTCTCCTTCATGTTCCTTCTTTTTGCCCCCAACAGTAATTCCTGTGCAGTTCCCATGCTTAACTGGGCTCAATTTGTACGTCATAGAAATTAATCAATTTGTTAGATTAATCCATTCCCATTAACTTCCCCTTTTCAGGAAGAAAAAGGGCACACCCTCATCCAACTTCAGGAAGCGAGGCACTGGGGGTGGGGGAGAACACATTCTCTTCACCAACATGATAAACATATCTTGTTCTGCTCTCCAACTC